TAATACTTGGAAGCAATACCTTAAGTGTCAGAAAACAAGAACATTTTATTTCTGCAAGAAAGCTTTCCAGTACTACTAGTATTCTGGAAAAGAAAAAAATTCCTTGTAATAGATTAAAAGGTGAAAAGCCAAAAGAAATCAGAAAGAAAATTAGGAAACTATTCCTTATGGCAAGGTTCAACTTATATCTCAAAGTTGGGGGAAGGGCTATTACTTATATGTTTACTTTAAAACTCATTCAAGAATGATAGGAGAGGGTCATATTTTTTTCAGTCTCAAATTTCTAATGGCAAATGAAGTCTTTGGCTATGCATCAAAATCTATTTGGTACTAAGTTAGATTTAAATTACATTGACTCAGTAGAATTTTAGAAATGCAGTATGCAATGCACTGATGCAAGACATAGCTTGCTGAACAATTGCAGGAGCTATAAGAAAATGCTCAATGTAAACATTTCTACATCTCTGTTCTTTGGGAGCCCTCTAAATGTTTGCTTTGAATCACTGTTGGTCTTTTCATTTTGGTTGTGGTTTTTTTTTGGTTTTGTTTTTGTTTTTTTTCCCTGAAGACAAAGCAGTAAATATGTCAAAACTATACCGCACCATTCTGTCCAGATATCACCTCAGTGAAGGTGGCAGTATCTAATCAGGCCTTATAAGGTATTTTCTTCTATAATCATAAAGGGGGTAAAAAAAGATATATTCACCAAATTTTGAAAATATCTAGCCAAAGAATTTCATCTGCATGTAATTCTTAAGGACACACATAGCAACTGAATATGCAAAGGGGTTAGTGCAATCCTGTACAAAAATCCTGCACAGTCCTGCCAGATTAAACCAGAACAAAATGTACTATCTTGCACGTACAACATGAATCCATATGTAATTGTGCTGGGCTAGAATAGAGTACAGTGTGTTCCCATTAATATTTACTCATCTTCCATTTCAAACTGTAAGCTCCTCTTTTCAGATAGCAAATACTTTTGAATATTTAAGTAACAGCTAGTTCTATTTTACTGAGATTACTTACTAACAAAGGAATGAATGATCCTGATTAAACTGGCTCTCTGCTTGAAAAATATCACACACAACAGCCAAAGAAAACCCCTTTGAAACATTCCTGTGTTTGGAGGATGTAAGAAAACTAATCTTGGATCATGACGACGATGATGATGCTATATAAAAATAATATCCATCTGTCCCAACAAACTTGAAATTTTATTGGCCTGGATAAGAGGAACAGTGCAAGGGAGGAAGGGCACACTTGGGAAGATATGGAAGGATCACTTTTCCTGCAAGGGTCTCGACATCTTGTTGGCTAGCCAAAAGAACAGAGGTTGTGACCCACCCTCTTCTCTCACCCCCGTGCCACAGTCTTAGGAACCTCTCATCCTTTTTGCCATGGATACAGATGGAGGTATGATCTTCACAGCAGATCAGATAAGACTGATCTCTTGTTTTGTTGTGGTCAAGTGCACCAGGTTATTTCACTTCTCCAATTATCAAGTAAATTAATGTTAACTTAGGATGTACAGGAACACCAGGACTCTGTAGGGATGCCCACAGGACACAATTCTGGTGTTCAAGGAAAAGGAAGGAATGTATTTCCCACAGGCCAGCACCCCTTCACAGTGGGGCAGGATAGAAAGTGAATTGCTAAAATTAAATTAAGGTGTGTGAGAAGATGCTACTGCATATTTTTTTTATTATGTGGCAACCTTCCTGTACTGATTCCATTTCCGTGTTGGATACATTAGGTAATTAAAAATGGCCTTTCAAGGTACATACATTCCTCTCTTTTTATTCACCTGCATATCCTTATCACAACTACCATATATCAAGCCTATCCATACCAGCTTACAAAAATTCAAGAAATTATCAAATGAAGGATTTTCACCCTCCGGTTTAAGACTTCCTTCCATTCATAGAGTAAATGTCATACAAAAGAGTAGAATGAAACACTGAAAACAAGAAAAATTCAAGTTTTCTGGCTCAGTTTGACCACATGATAAAATTGAGTTTTGTATGAACATTTCAGCAAAAGCATAAGTAAATTATAACTGTATATTAAAATCCTATGATTAATGTCCTAGAAAGTTAAGGAGAATAATCTTTCTGTTTACCGAAGAATTCCTGGATTACTTGCAGGAAGGTAAACTAGAGATATAGATCAGTTCCCATCTGTATTCAGTGTATTTATATTTTTTCATAAATAATGCTTAAGGACTGAATTTCCTTTCAAAATAAACTACTGCTAATACAGTTGCTTTTATTTTCAACATTCTGATATTTTAGCACCATTTTTAGTTTCAACAATTCAAACTTAATTTCATACCGCTCACTAAGTGTCTGGGAAGAGCAGGTTTCAAAGCTGAATCACATTTGTGAAAGAACAGAAGTTGACCATATCCCAGACCCAACTCAGATCCCAATACAATAAATGGAAAACTTTCCATCAAACGGAACTGAGCTTGGACCTGGCTTCTGTATAGAGCTACAGTGGTATTTGAGGCTTGGGGGCAGGGGGATTCATTTTCATAGAATGATCATAGAATCAAAGAATGCTTTAGGAAGGAAGGAACCTTTAAAAGTCATCTAGTCCAACCCGCCTGCAATGGGCAGGGACATCTTCAACTAGATGGGTGGTGGCAAACGGCTCTTTTTCAAACTGGCAACCCGTCGCAAGTGGGGTCCCCCAGGGATCAATATCAGGCCCAATGCTATTCAATATCTTCATAAGCGATCTGGATAACGGGATCAAGTGTAGCCTGATGAAGTTTGCAGATGACACCAAACTGAGTGGGGAAGTAGACACACTGGAAGGGAGAGCCATCCGGCAGGAAGTTCTGGATAGGCTGGAAGAGTGGGCTAACAAGAACCTTATGAAGTTTAACAATGACAAGTGTAAGGTCTCACACCTGGGAAAACATAATCCAGGAGTGAAGCTCAGACTGGGATCCACCTGGCTAGAAAGCAGCTCTGTGGAAAGGGACCTGGGGATCCTGGTGGACCGGAAGCTCAGTATGAGTGTTCCAATGTTTCACCACCCTCATCGTGAAAAATTTTTTCCTCACGTTCAGTCTAAATCTACCATCCTGTAGTGTAAAACCATTACCCCTTGTCCTATTGCAGCAGGTCTTGCTAAAAAGACTGTCCCCATCTTTCTTGTAGGCTCCCTTGAAGTATTGAAAGGCTGCAATAAGGTCTCCCCGCAGCCTTCTTTCCTCCAGGCTGAACAGCCCCAGCTCTTTCAGCATCTCCTCATAGCAGAGGTGTTCCAGCCCTCTGATCATTTTTGTGGCCTCCTCTGGACCCGCTCCAACACGTCCATGTCCTTCCTTCCTGTGCTGAGGACCCCAGAGCTGGACGCAGTGCTCCAGGTGGGGTCTCACCAGAGCAGAGCAGAGGGGCAGAATCACCTCCCTCGACCACCGGCCATGCTTCTTTTGATGCAGCCCAGGATATGGTTGGCTTTCTGGGCTGCGAGAGCACATTGCCAGCTCATGTCCAGCTTTTCATCTACCAGTAGCCCCAAGTCCTCCTCCTCAGGGCTGCTCTCAATCCCTTCATCCCCCAGCCTGTATTGATACTGGGATTTTATTTGGTTTTTAATCAGCTATGCTATTCACATGGTCCAAACAGTCTATTCAAAGACTCAGACTATCCCTCTGTTATATTTATCTTCTCTAAAATGTGCTCCATTTAATGGAAACTATTTTGATCAAAGTGAATAACTTTTACAGTGTTTTTCAACTACTGTCTTTAAATGCAGCCTGAGTTGCAGCTGCATTTTACTATCCTGTAAGTTATTGCTTTCCCAGGTGTTTGGTGCAGGGGTCATCTTATCTAAGTACCTTTTCTGTTGATAATCAAGACTCTCTAGGGTAGCAAAAGTATGAATTATTGTAAACATATTTAAACTAGATTCAAATAATTTACAGTAGCTCAGCATGCTTTCTATTGCATCTTTTCTGCTGCCTTTTGTCTTGCCAAAAAGATACTCAGTCTAAAGCTTTAACAGACTCATCTCAGTTCTTTTCTCTTTAGAGTAGTGATGAGCAAACTATTTTTCTCAAAAAAGCAGCTCCAGCGAGGAGACCATCTTTCAAAAGAAAGCTGCCAATCACTTGACAGAACCATACCTTGTGACTGCAGGGCAAGTTTGGCTCTTCTCTCACTTTTACACGGAGTGTTTCCTAACAAATTCCCTCCTCTTACATTAAGAAGTGTACTGTAAATGTCTATGAATGTAATTCAGACAGTTTTGATGTGAAGTTCAACTGACTTCTGGAACACATTTTGTTATGAGTAAATTTCCACAGCATGCCACACATTTCCTAGGTTTACTTTAGATCTTTTGCCAAGATTAACAGCATTTCTTTCATGTTGCTTTCTTTACATTTATATCTATATTCCATGTTTAACATAATGTTTCTACGGGTCTGGAGAAAGCATTAAAGATCTTTAACTTTAAAATACATAATTTGTTGCTTTCTAAACACTCTGCTTCATCCATTATTACACTTTGCATTTGTTTCTTTATAATTCACTCAACCTTCCCTTCTGAAAACTTCATGAACTAACAAAACGTGCCGACTTTTCACAAGCTAGGAAATGCAAGATCTGACTTATACTAATTTGTCCATGAAATTGAACAATTTAGGATAGGTCAAACAATTCACAGAAAGGACAACCACCTCTACTTCTACACATTTTACAGAACTAACTATAAACATCTATTAACACATCACTAAAACAGTGCTGCTTTTGTCTCTACTACATCCTATTAATATTTTCCATAAATGGTTTTGATCTATTATTTCTACAATTAAGTGCCTTAATTTTCATTTCATATAGTGGGTTATCATTCAACTTGCTATAAATTTGATGTGCCTTCGAAAGGTAACACACACTTCGTATCTTAATTTGTTTCACAGTAGTCTGTACCTCAGAGTTAGATGCATGTGACAATCTCTATCATTTTACACATGGCATACTGACCTGGTCATCATAACGGTAAGTGAGGAATTGTTCCCCCGTGGTATCCTCAAGAAAACTCCCCTGTGGAGAAAGTGCAAACTCAGGCAAGAAGTATGCACCTTGGGATTGCTCTGCTCTTGTCTGTAAGAGATTCAGAAAGGTCACATTACAGCTACTCCAAAACACAAGTCAAAATTTTAAAAAACTCTATGCATATAATTATAAAGACTAGACACAAACTACTGGAAAAAAAAGTGATGTGTTTTCAGGCACTTTATTTCTGGGTGGATACTTTGCTACAGAGGTCTGCGACGAGGATATATCAATTGCTTACAGGGGTCCAAAACCAAATAAGATACCTCAATAGCAGAATCATCTATTAAACAAAAAGATACCATCTCTGACTTATCAACCACCACTGCTGAAAGACACTGTGAAAACCAACATTAAGCTACACTTTCTTCTTCCTTATACACTTCACTAGACAGTTACTGGCTACAGCAGATAATGGGCTTTTGGTTAAATACAGTATATCTGTTCTTACAGGAAGATACAAAGAACATCTTGAGAGCTCATCTAGTCCAGCCTCCTCAAAGTAGGGTAACCTGTGAAACCATGACATGGCAAATTGCCTTCCTATCCTGCAGGAAGTTATTACTGCAAAAAAGAAATCAGACGGGAGAGGGGAATGACCGGAGTGAACACCAGGCAGCGGTCCATATTAGTTCTGTGTGCTATTCACGACTGGTGAAGAGCATTCAAGAACAGACTGGGAGAGGAAGAAGGGCCCATTTCGAGCTACATAGAAGCTAATTCTATCAGAATCAGAGTCAATACCTCCAACCAGGCTGTCTGACACCTGAGCCCTTATTAGACAAATGGCTTTTGCTTAGCAGATCTATGCATGTCCACTAATCATAACACACCTGAAACATGCTAGACATGCTGAACACATGCTGGCTGAATATCCTGTCATTGCACTGTAGGTCTAAAGCATCCTAGATACATAGCAAATGCACTGCACAGGCTGTTATGTCCTTACTCCTACTACATTGTAACTCTACACTGAGAAGCTAATCAGTTTGCTTAATAGAGAAAATAAGCAATCATCTTTTGAATGCAGAATATTGAGTCCAGCTGTGGTAGGAAGAGAGTGGAAAGGGCAAGGAGATGAAAATTACCTTCCAAAAGGTGGAAACCTTTCAGGGAAGAAAACAAGGCCTGAAACGTACAAGTTACTGCTGGACATTTCCCAATGAGTCAACTTAATAAATGGGGTTTAATTAAAGTGTTTGCTATATTTTGCATATACATAGTAATTTTACATGAAACCTAGCAGTTGCCATCGACCAGTTTCCAGACGGTTGGCTAGAACTGTATCAAATATAGGTGTATAATCTCAGTGCCAGGTAACTACAGATTTCAAAAGTAATCTACACAACTTAACCAGTTTGTGATGGAAAAGGAAGGCAAGGCCTTCTGCAGTTTCTCTCTCACAGTAAGTTCACTTTCTGAAGCTCACAACCTATCTCATAAAAAGCAGATGTCGTGTCATTCGCAGTATGGGTCTGGAGAAGCTTACGTTGCTTTTGCTTGCTCTGTTCTGCAAAGAAGAAGCTGTCAGCTTCTCAGACTGTAAACCCCATCATTTGTGACAGCATTAGATTAACGTACTTGTTTTAAATCAAGCAATCCTCATATAAACTAGAAATAGCTTGCAAAGGACATGTCTAGACTAGGGTAAAAGGTCATATTTTAGCATGCAAGACTGAACAAGATTTTAAAGAGGATTTTTTCATCAGGCCTGCATAAGAGTAATTTATGTTCACATCATGTTATTATGACATTTCTATAAAGCCTATTATAGCAGTGGTCTAACTTGTACACTTTAGCCAACTGACTTTATTTATGCAGAATTAAAGAGTAAAATATGGAGAATAAATCTACATTTGATAACAATAATTTCCCCATGAAGCAACCAAGAGAGGTCCACAGTTATTCTTCATGCTGAATCCAAGCTGGCTGCAGCCAATGCAAACCTTGACATGTTAAGTATAACCCAGACATGAAAGTGGCTGACATTATCTGGCATTTCTCCCCACTGGTTTCAATGGGCTATCGATAGATCCTACGTGAGGGAATATGGCAATGATGTAATCCTATGATTTCAGCACAGGACTAATGGATAAGAGATAAGCATTCCAAATCTTGAGTGGCCTGGGTTAAAGTACTTAACATTTCTACTTCAGTTTCCCAAGGTGTAAAACAATTACAACACCAACTGACCTATATTAATGGTGTATTGTAAAGTTTAGTTTATATTTGTAAAATACTTTGGAAAAGAAGAGTGTTAAGTGCTAGCTATTTATAACAATATTTTTGAAAGAGCTGCCTAATTTACGGACAGAAGAGAATCCAAATTACTCCACCACACTTGTTAGATAAATGTATATATCACACTGTTGCCTAATTTTCCATAAACAAACTTGTCAGTAGGATATGTAACTAAACGTTTAAAATAGAAAGTCTTTGGATATTCATCAGTATTATGCTTTGAACATAAAAGATGCCACGTTTGAAGCTGAAACAACAATTTAATAAATATGACATGAAAAACTAAGGGCTTCTTTCACACACATTCAATTTTCATATTAAAAGCTAATGAGCAGCCACTGGAGAAGCAGAATGCTTGCTAGATTAAGGCAAGCGAAGTCTGGCTTCCAAGGATGGAAAAATTCAATGTAAAAGATTACTGTTTTATAAGGTTACACAGGAGGTTACAATGGAAACCGATCTGCTAACTACAGCAATAGGTACTGCTACCCACCTAGTATAACTAAAGTAAGGAAGAATGCAGCAAAGCATTTAATTAAAAATAAAAATCTACTAAGAATACACTATGAGTTGTCATGGCAAACCGATGTTGAAGCCAAGCAATTACAGGTGATAAACAACCCAAATCAAGAAGTCCATTAAAAAAAAATCAAAGCTTCAACTGCTCAAAGAACTCTTTTGTATCAACTCATCAAAGTAGCAGAAAAACATTTTTTCCCTCTAGGTATACATACCTTCAAATAAGCTGCATGTGTCCAACGCACTTTCATTCATACATTGTACTGAACACAAAATGTACTGTTTCCACTTAGTCCACTTTATTCCCCACTGAGGAATCTACCGATGTTCCTTGTGAGGCTTTCATATTTCTATGGCCACTTTTGCTTAAACGTAATTCAAATTTCAACAGTCTGTGGGTTTATAGTATATTTGAGATCATCTCTGAATGACTTAGCTAATCCGATATAAATTCATGTTTTAAACTAAAGGCTGCAAGTGCAAGTTTCAGAAACAATTACATTTCATGCTAGTGTTTTAAGTCTCTTTAAAGTTCTTAACATTAAACTGGCCATTAAGTTAAATGTGTCAAATTACAAGTACACTTAAGATTTAGAGTGGGCATTTTAAACCAGCTTTTATGACCTTCTTAAGCATATGAAGACAGTAGAAGGTGATAATGTAGCCAAACCAGATATAATAATAATCACTGCATAAAATTCATTGAAATTAATATCTCAGGTAGCAAGGAAGTGTGTAGTACCGTACTAAGAAGAAAGTTTAGAAGTTGGGAACAGATTGGTGTTTAAAAATCTTTCTAGGTATAGGTTAATCAGAACATGTAACTTATTAGTCAGAAACAAAAAAAATAAAGTCTCGCATGCTACATCATTCTACCTGTGGGATCAAGGAAAACTATCCCGATAAGTGGATAATGTATGTAGGTTCTGGGATGTGCAATATGGTACTGTTCTTATTCAAAAGCTTATGCTGTGAGCACAGCTTTGATGTCAGGTTGTGATTGCTTCCTCACTCATCACTCCCCACCTGAGTGCCTAAAGACTAAATTACTCTTCCACTTTCAATTGCAGAAGACAAAATGAATAGCTTATATACAAGCCTCTGGTTTTTAGATTTCCCTCCATCAGAGTTGCATGTTGTCATTTTTACTGCTGCCTGATTTCATTGTTCTGTGTACTATTCTGACTAGAAGCATCTGCCCGAGTTAAAGTTGCTGGATTTGGGGATTTTATATTTTATTTTATTACTGAAAGTAAGAGGGATGATTACTGAGTGCTTCCTAGCCAATGCTGGCATTAGCAAGCAGCATGGCCGATTAGGAGTGAATCTGCAGATAAAAACGGTGTGCAGGACCGAATGCCCACACAAAGCATATTTGAAGGAGAGGGGCTTATTTTAAACTAAGTCTAGTCAATCCCATGGACTGAGTATCTCTTAGTGACTGAAGCACAGTAGGTGTGCTGCTGGGGCACATCATCTTGTTCAGTTTGAGCCAAAAGGAATCCTGTTGGCACACTCCAAAACCACTACAAAATGCAAACTCTGAAACCACTACACAATGTAAACAACTTTAACTGCTATTTTTTATCTTGATACCCAGGATTCTTATTAACCATTGCCATCCAGCTCACTTGTAATTATCAAATCAGAGCAATTGCTAAAATGTAGAGTTTCCCTATCACTGAAAATTACAAATATTAATCATTGGTCATTCCTTCCAAGGTACAGATAAACAATTTCATCCAAGGATTTAAACTGTTATTGTGATTTCAGATAAATTTAAAAAAATGTAGTTTAGTCTACAGTTCTCGGGGATCATTTGATACAAAGGCTATGACAAAGTTCAACCCAACCTCATAATAACATGCATTATTCTATTTAATCATAGCAACCAGGAGACAGGAAAGTAATTGTTCCATATTTATATATAAACAGCAGCAGCTTTAGAAAATGAGCTTTCTGCTAAGTCTAAGTTGTGAAGGTCATGAAGATGAGAAAACAGATGAAATGTCTCAAAGAAATGACTTCAACATAATTAGAAGTAAAACACTAATCTTTCAGGTACAGAGGAATTTTTAATTTTAGAGTTTCTTGGCAGCAAGAACCACATTAAGAGAAAACTAAGAACTATCCTGTTACATATACTTCCTAATGCATATCAGCATTACCTAGATTTAAGTCAGTCATTCCCTAACCAAGCCTGCGTGCTTGCTAAAATTGGGAGTATAATGAGAGCAAACTGTTTTGTGTAATGAAGATGAAAACTTCAAAATTATCTATTTTAAATG